CAAAGAAATAGAGATACAGATAGATGATCTTGCATAAGTCTATCTCTGCCAAACGAGGTTATCAACTGCGCATGCGTTAAATCCTAGATACTCATTGGCCTGGGGTTGGCATTTTGTAACATGGTTCTTGTGCGGTGTTGTCATATCAAGTTGAGGATATTATGCGTCGACTACAACTACAGTGATATTTGTTCAGTTCAAATACAAGCAAATAACGTAGTTTATACGCTTATTGGCAACCCTGCAATGTCAGCTAAGTACTGAAAATTGATGCTTAATAATGGAATAATTTCATATTGAGGCGTGCACATAAGAAAACAAAATTCTCTCTAGACAAAGATGGCATACTTTCATCTCATGTTGTTTGCTCGAAGCAACCCGCGATATACTTCGATACTTCAGTATAATAGGTATAATAATTGCTTTATTTAGACTTCATCTAATTTAGTACAAAAAATTTGATACTATAAATATCACAAGAGATATAATAATTAGTTCACCTATTAATACTACCGTCTTACAATGTGGAGATCATTGGACAATTCTGAATTAACAAAATACAGCACAATTTTTTTTTTTTTTTTTTTTCATTTGCATCATTCTCCCTTCAAGTATTCTTTAAGTCTCCCCTTAAACAATCCAATGGTTGGCAAGTTCTTTATCTCATTGGGCAATGCATTAAAAATTATTAACCCCTTATGGTATACTGCTTTCTCAGAAAGCGATTTATTCTTTTTTGCAACATAAAAATTGTCTCTATTTCTAGTTGCATAGTTGTGAATGTCCCCACTGGTGATCAATTTATTTGTCAAATAGTCAGGTGTAATTCCATTTTTTATTTTATAGATAAAGATCATTGTTTGATACTTGACAAACCCTTCAACAGGTAGCCAATCCAATCCATTCAGCAAGTCAACTATACGTGTGTCCCTTCTTTTCTTCAATATTTTGCAACTTTTGCAGGCGATTCATTTCATTTTTGTTGGCAGTAAATAGTATTGTTGCACTATACACAAAGTGAGGTAAGATCAGGGTATTATATATTGTTATTTTGGTCCATTTTGATAATGATGAGGACACTCTGGACAGAAAATTTACATTTCTTGATATTTTGTCAATGATGTACAGGATATGTTCTTTAAAGTTAAGAGAATTATCGATGATGAACCCCAAATACTTGATCTTCTGTACCACCTCTACACGTTCAGTACCTATTTCTATCTTCAAATCATACTTATTATATTCATGCTGGATCCTGTTACCTCCAATCATAATGAATTTCGTTTTTCCAACAACAACTTAAGCATATTGTCATTGAACCACAACTGAATTTGCTGAAGATCCAGATTTATTGCATGCATCAGGCTAATTAGATCTTTTGAAAAAAAAATAGATCAATGTATCATCCGCAAATAAGTGTATAGAGCAATTTTGAATCACCGAATCAATATCGTTAATATACAACAAGAACAGTAATGGACCAAGAGTACTGCCTTGGGGGACGCCATAATTGTTTGTTTTTGTTGTTGATATATTGTTTCCAATTTTTGTTATTTGTTTTCTGTTATCCAGGTAATCCACAAACCAATCAAGTACGTCATTCAAAATTCCATAATTTCGCATTTTTTTTATCAATTTACTTCTATCTAGAGTTTCAAACGCGCGCTGTAAGTCCAAAAACACAGCTCCCACAGCATAGTCATCATCAAGAAGATTTTTCCAATCATACAGAATATTTTGTACTGCTGTCTCACAACTATGTCCCTTTCTAAACCCCGACTGACTTGGAATAAGGATGTTATTTGAATTAATATACTCCATCAATTGACTGTATACAACCCTCTCTGGTATATGATCAGACTATTGTGTATAGCTGGTATAGCTAATTCTTTTTCATAATCAGAGACGATGATTATTATTACAGAGACAAAAAGCTTCTGTAGCATGACAAGTTGACAGAAGAGCAGAATGACATATGACTGATAGACCGGTGGCCCAGCGTCAAATCACCCCCCCTCATCGGGCACAAAATTTTCATTATAGGTACTCGAAACACCGCCCGTCTGCCAGTGATGGGTGATAGCCCGCTTCCGTGACCGCCCCCCAAATAAGGGAATTTTGATCAAAAACCCCCCTTACGAGTACAAAAATGAAATTTTTTGGGCATGTAGACAATTATATCAGAAACCTAAAAACACGTGGCAGACGCCTTCCGGTGGTAGCCCGTCCAGGGCAGACGCCTTCCAGTGGTAGCCCGTTCAGGGCAGACGACGTTGAAAAAAAATATATATGACGTGAAACTCCCCTTACGAGTACATTCACAAAATTTTGTAGGCTTAAACACAGTCAGATTGGTGTGCTAAAAATACATGGCAAATGCCTGTTTAATACAAAATTACGCTGAAGCGTTCCTTATCATGGATTCGCTCTTTTTTGACATTGCTTCGATAATTTGACGTTTGATACACGCATAAAACGTCAAATTTTCGAGGCAATGTCAAAAAAAGAGCGAATTCCGCACAAGTGAGAATTAGGCTTTAAGCTTAAAACCCTAGGTATCAAGATTCAAGTCCATGTTGAAAGATGGCAGTGAAACCCTAACCAAATTCGCGAAAAAAAATTTAAAATGCTATTTTATAAAGAAATAATTACATGTTAAATTTAAATTTCACACCATTTTATTATACAGTGAGGACATAAAGTCCGTCGCCCCTCCTCTAGCTTTTGAACCGCTCGGTATATTGCAACGAAATTTGGAATGATGTTATGTGAGCAAATTCTCCATTTATTGAAAAAAAATACAGTTTTAGCTGTCAAAATGACAGCTGGGCGCAGTTTTGAAACTTTTTTTTAAATAGAAAGCACGGTCGAGTGATATATCGTTTTAAAGGTCTATTTATTCTTTCTTGTTTTAATCCTCGATTCTGAAAACATTTGGTTTAGCAGTTTTCAAATGATGACGTTGTTCTGGTCATTAACACTCGTGAAAAAAAAAATTATCGGTTTTTTATTCATTATGGTTTTTGTTTCAGTAATAAATAATAAAATAATGACGTAATGGTAATGACATTGTAACTCAAAAAAAAAACAAACTACTCATGAAATGATGAATCAATTACTAAAGAATTTTTTTTATGACCAAAACAAAACCTTTGTTTTTTTCGTCATCATTTGAAAACCTCTAAACCAAATGTTTTCAGAATCGGGGATTAAATTAAGACCAAAGAGACCTGCAAAACAATATATCAATCGACACCTCCTTTTATTTAAAAAAAAAAAACGTTCCAAAGCTGCGCCCAGCCAGCTGTCATTATTTCTTTTTCAAAAAATGGAGAATTTGCTCAAGGATAATACACACTACTAAGGATTGCTTATCGGCCTTGCTTTTGGTAATCGCCGCCATATTGGTGTGAATGGTGTGTCACCATTTCCGACGTCATCAACAAGTCGTCAGCTGTTTGCACTAGAGGTCCTAGTTTAGGATTTAAATTTATGATGAAAAATATTATTTAATTTTGATTAACATAATAGGCAAAGAGGAAGATGAAAACGAGATCTAAAAAAAGAGTGGTTTTAGAATGTTAATTAATGTAGTAAAACCAAGTATGCATAAAGTGCAAACAGCCTACGTCAAGGTGAGAAAGGACATGCTGCCTACGTCACAACTGGTGATTTGGCGTGGTAGGGGGCTTCAGATTTGTTCCACACAGGCCCTATGAGGATAGGCTATCCTGTAGTAGTGGTGTGCATTATCCTTGAAATTTGCTTACATATCAGCATTCCAAATTTCGTTGTAATATACCGAGCGGTTCAAAAGATAGAGGGGGGCGACGGACTACATGTCCACACTGTATTAATAATAGTGAAGGTTTTATTGGGAGTCAGTCAGGTTGAAAAATGAAACAAATTTTTTTTTTACGTTTCGGAATTTTCTATTAATTCCATCTTCAGAATTTGAAAAGTCAAAATTGTACAAACACAGATGTTTTTACATTTTGAACATTTAAAATATTTTTTTTTTGTATAATGACGAAGATGATGATTTTATCAAGAAACAGAGTTAACTTATACAACAAAAAAAAAATCGAAAACATGGTTTTTTTAAAAATAAAATCTTAGGACTTGTGTGACTTGCGATTAAGAACGATAAACCACAGAGAATGGTTACATCGGCGATTTTTTCCGCCAGTTTAGCGGGAGCACTCGCTGCTGTAGTAACGTTACCTGGCCCATTGAGTGGGCCGGAGTACGTCACGCGTCCGGTCATTGACCTTTGCGGTCGTCTAGAATTGGCGAACGCGGTGCTCACGAGAAGCGACTATCCTCTTGAGGTTTATCGTTCTTGACTTGCGACTATATTCACATCAGTACGCCAACAACGTCAGTCATATGTCATTCTGCTCTTCTGTCAACTTGTCATGCTACAGAAGCTTTTTGTCTCTGTAATAATAATCATCGTCTCTGATTATGAAAAAGAATTAGCTATACCAGCTATAAACAATAGTCTGATCATATACCTATTATACTGAAGTATTGAAGTATATCGCGGGTTGCTTCGAGCAAACAACATGAGATGAAAGTATGCCATCTTTGTCTAGAGAGAATTTTGTTTTCTAATGCGCACGCGTCAATATGAAATCATTCCATTGATAAGCATCAATTTTCAGTACTTAGCTGACATTGCAGAGTTGCCAATAAGCGTATAAACTACGTTATTTGCTTGTATTTGAACTGAACAAATATCACTGTAGTTGTAGTTGACGCATAATATCCTCAACTTGATATGACAACACCGCACAAGAACCATGTTACAAAATGCCAACCGCAGGCCAATAAGTATCTAGCATTTGACGCATGACGCATGCGCAGTTGATAACCTCGTTTGACAAAGATAGACTTATGCAAGATCATCTATCTGTATCTCTATTTCTTTGCTTCAAAATCCCCATATTAGCTAAGTAGGAAAAGCGCAATATACGTCAGTATTCAGTATTGTCTGTGTTGGACTGTATCAGTAATTAATTAGTAGTGTTGTGGAAAGTGAACATCTAAAAAAGGTATGTAAATATGTTTAGGTGATTTATTGTTGTTTCAGGAGCCTTATTTATACTCTCCCTTTAGTTATACGCTTCACATTAAATATTGTGGACAAAACAGGAGAAATAAACTTTTTGTTACCCAGACAGCTGAATCATCCACTGAATTGAATTAATCACCATGATTATCACAATTTATAATAATAATATTACAAGCGTTATCTGCTCCCTTGATCATAGTTGCAGTGAAGGTGAATAGTCATTTATACAACTTCTCAAAAGTACCTATCCATCTGAATTTAATTTTCAAAGAAAACAAAAAAGTGTCTAGATTTCCACAATTCTATTTTTCCGGCAACATATAAATAAAATCGTGAAAATCTTGAAACTTTTTTGTTTGCTTCCAAAATTTCTAATGGATTTCCATCAAGGATCAGCTAAATCAATCTTTGAAGTTACTTTGGGTATTGAGTTAAGTAGTCTTTGAAAAAAGGATCCTGAATAACTACATATCCTAATTTACGTTTTATTTTAGAGATACTTTATTATTATTATTATTTCCAAATAGCAGGTGGAAAAACTGATGAGGCTATGTCTGTTTATTTTCTCCACAGGTTCGATTTTGAAAACAAAAGTTTAAAATCACAGGACGTTATCACAGTTTCAATGACGAACTCGATGACGTTTTTCGAGTCGTTATTTTTATAGCCCATAATGGACAAACTGCGACAGGACCTTGAAAGTTCACAATCAATTGTGTTTTTTGTAGATAGAAAAATGGGGAACAAAAATTGAATTCTGTGCATACATTTTTATTCCTAGCAGAGCGCTTTCGATCTTAGACCATCCTCAATACTTCCAGAAAGTGAGGAAATGTCCATTGAGAATAAAAATTGGCAATCCATTTTATTTTCAACAGGGACTTGAATCTTGGTACCTAGGGTTTTAATCTTAAAGCCTTATTCTCAATTGCGCGGAATTCGCTCTTTTTTGACATTGCTTCGATAATTTGACGTTTGATACACGCATAAAACGTCAAATTTTCGAGGCAATGTCAAAAAATAGCGAATTTCGCGCAAAAAGAGCGAATTTCGCGCAAGTGAGAATGAGGCATAATTCTCAATTGCGCGAAATTCGCTCATTTTTGACATTGCTTCGACAATTTGACGTTTGATACACGCATAAAAAGTCAAATTGTCGAAGCAATGTCAACAAAAAGAGCGAATTTCGCTCAAGTGAGAATGAGGCATTAGAATATTTCGAGGAATATTCCGTTATGTTGATTTTGAAATCAGTGGGGGGATAGAGGGTTGAAAATATCAAAAAACTCAATAGAAATAAGGTTATCATAAATTGCCTCGACATTTTAGATGGGGTACCAGTACCACTACCATCTTTTGGCAGGGAATGAAGTGTTCTATGCAGAACCCCATCCATTCCAAAATGTGGAAAAAATTGATAAAAGCCTGATTTTCATTGATTTTTTTAAATATTATTATGTTCAACCTTTCATTCTCTACATATTTTAAAAACAGTTTGAGGGATTATTCTAGAACAGAACAGTTCGTTCAGTCTGTCAAATGATGGTAGTAGTATATCATCCATCAAAAAAATATTCAGCGCTGCGTTCGCAAGGTTGTTTGGGAGAGGTCTGTTGCCTGATAACTTTAATGACGTCATCCGGGTTATCTCAACATAATGCAAGTCTCCATAAGGCACCCCAGATGACGTCATCAAGTTACTCCTTACCAGGCAACCTTAACTTTTGGAACTTCCGACTAAGGTGAAATTTAAGCTGAGCGAAAACCGTGACATATATTATGTCAAGTAGTCACTTTATTTGTTTTCTCGTAAGAATACTTAAACAATGGTGTATTCTTTTGATTTGAACAACTCTTTGAAACCACATGGGTTTTTTTTCAAACAATTTGCCCTGAGGCCGGAACCAAATTAGATCGAAAGAATACCTAGAATGCTTTATTTTGTTGAATGAGTTGATGAATAAAAAAAAAAAGAATAACATTTTTATCAAAAGTGTTGAGGTTAGCGATCGCCGTTCAAAAACCTAGCATACCACAGTGTGTTAGGTTAGCTACAAATCAAATCAAAATAAGCTTTATTGTCCAAAAAAAAAAAACATTGTTTTTCATTGACAAAGCAAAGATCCTATCACTAATTTATTCTAAGTAAATATAAAGACAATTTTACTCCAAAATCCAAATATGAAGCTACTCTTCTGCGAATGATTTCCGCACCAATGACCACGTTTTCGAACGCGCCCCTGTAGACTAGTTGACATTTCACTCTTTGACATCGACATTTACTTTACCTTTGGGAGCGCGCCGGTCTCACTTTTATTCCAACGGCCAGAGAAAAAGTAGATATCTATATTTCAAAATTACCATCTGTTTTAGATAAGAATTAAAAATGGAGAAGGTGATGACTTCTTTACTAGAAATGGGATTTCCTCAACAGCGAATGTAAGTTTTGAAATAATTTGACTATGAAACTTTGGGCCTAATTTTTTACATCACACAGTGAACTTGCTATTGCAAGAACAAACAGCCACGATTTGCAACTACTCATGGACTGGATGATGTCCCATGAAGAAGAGTTGGACGCAGCTTCTGCTGCAGTTGCTGATGAAAATGCTCCATCTACTTCATCGCTGGAAAGACCAGCACGAACTGAAACTGCTGGACTATCTAAATCCGCCAAAGCTTCCGAACTCACCGAGGGCTATGAAATCACAGGAAGAATTGGAGCTCTAGCAATTGAAGAATCAGATGAGGAAATCGAAGAGTGTGTACTAGCTACTGTGACTCGATCTTTTATATGCGATGAATGCGGAGATGAAAGAGTTTTCGAATCAACTGAAGAAATTGAGTTGCACACTGAGGAATCAGGTATAAAAATTTTTTAGGGCCTATTTTTTTCCAAGAAAGCTTATAGGTATTCTGTTAGTAGGTATTTCTAATGCAAATCTCAGAGATTGTTGGTTATGCTAATAATTAGAGCCATGAATGTACATATTTATCTCAAATGGTACATGTTTCATTCTAAGCTCCAATAAATTAGCTTAACGAAAGACCCAATATTGTTTTCTAACTTCAAGTTAAACAAACGCTGTTTTCATTAATGTATCTAGTATCACATGTGAACCATTTCTGTTGCCTTCATCCCATTTCTAGTCCTCCCAGCGAGTTATGTGAATTATTTCTAACAATAATTCTGGATCCATTTATAAATAAATGCATAAAAGTGCCTTTTATATTACATACCTAAATATTATAAATAAATAAGGTACTATGTTGCTCATATAATAATCTAACTTATTGTGTTAAAGTATCCGTCAGAGGGGTCGTCAATGAATACCTCAAATTTGATACACGGTGCATTTTTGCAGGATTTTTTCAAAGGTAAAAAGCTGTGACTTGGTGCTTATGCACCTGCTGACTGGGGTGGAGTAGCACCTTCAACATGATTTGAAGAGGCAACTTCGATAATCGGTATGTGAATTTTTAATATTAGGGTCAAATTTTGGCAATTTGTTTTCCGTCGTCATCTACAATCCGTTTAGTTGAGAATATTATTATACAATCGTATTAGTTGGAAATACAATGTGGCACTATCAATGTGGTGCAATTTTTCACATGGAAAAGCCATGAAATAAGTTCTTTCTGAATCAGTGAATGGTTTTTGCAACTGTTATCTATTTATGATATTTATCATTAGGGCCTTGGTGCCAGGTTGTAACTGATTTGAGGTCTGTAATAAATTGATTTTTAGAAAAAACTAAGAGTGCAGACGATTGTGGGGGAGATTCGAGTGACCGGTTTCTGGGTAATCATCTAACTGGAATGTGTATTCAGACGAGATTGGATGCTTAAAGATTGGCATCAAATGTCTTTCTTCTTCGTGGGCTGGCTGATTGTGTCTCAACATCAGCTCCAAGACAGGCATACTTTTCTCTTTGTCATTCCCATATATCGTATGCCATCATTGTATGGGGTCACAGCCCAGGTGCTGACAGGGTTTTTGGACTCCAGCGTCGAGCAGTTTCCTTACAAAAAGGATTGAAAAAATAATGACTCTATCATTGTTTATCTATTTTTTATTATTTATTTTTTTTTCCGGTTTTTAGCGTCCTGCGCCTTCCGGTTCCCAGTGTCTAGCCCGTTCTGTCTTCCCGAGCTCCTGGATGTAGGTCCCGCTCTGACATGACTCTTTGTATTCCGCCGAACCATGTAGCTTTAGGTTTTCCTCTTTTCCTTCTTTCGTGGGGTGTCCATTTCATTACTAGTTTAGGAAGCTGTTCGTTATTCATTCTTTCTAAGTATCCATACCATGTCAGTTGTCTTTTTTGTATTTCGTCTATCATTGTTTTTTCTACTTGCATGATTTCTCTTATTCTTTCGTTGGTTATTCTTTGCATTCTTGATTCTCCTGCAGATGTTCTCCAAAAGTCCATTTTGAGTGACATAAGTCGTCTTTCTAGGCTTTTCGTTAATTGCCACATTTCACATTCATATAAGATTATGCTTTGGAATATAGTGTTATATATAAGCAGTTTTCTGTCACGTGATATCTGATTTGACCATAGAATCGAGTTTAGACATCCGATTACCCTTTTTCCTTTTACTATCCTTGCTTCTATCTCGGCTTCTGTTCTGCCTGTCTTATCTATTTGTGTTCCTAGATAGGTAAATTTGTCGCATGCGGATATTTCAACATTTTATCTAATGTTAATTTTCCCGAGTTTTGGCTGATGCATAAGTATTTGGTTTTTGATTTGTTCACCGATAGCCCCCATTTTTCATTCGGTAAGAAGTCTTGTTGACATAAATTCTAGGTCTTTTTTATCCTGGGCTATTACCACCTGGTCGTCTGCAAAATGGAGTGTATATAGAGTCTTTTTGTTATTCAGTTGTATCCCCATATCACTACATGATCTTCTCCACTTTCTTAGTGTTTCATTTAAATAGATTTTTTGAAAAGTTTGGGAGATAAACAACAACCTTGACGTAGACCTTTAGTTATAGAGAAGCTGTCGGGCAGAGTAGATCCTATTTTTATTCTTTATGATGTCTGATGGTACAGCTATTTTATTGTTTTTATTGCAGTATTATTTATTTAAGTGTTTTACATCACTTGCCAAAGTTTTTGGACAGGAACCATGTCATAAGCCTTTGTAAGGTCAACGAAGAGCGAAGGTGGACATCTCTGTTTGTAGCAGTTTTTTTTCTCATTGAGCTGCATAAGGCTAAATATATGATTAACACAAGATCGTCCGGCTCGAAATCCCGCTTGTTCTCTATTTTGTGAGGGCCATGTTTCTTGTTCTATTATGTCTCTAATTAATCGACCAAAAAGCCTACTCATTGTACTTGTAACTGAGAAAGATCTATAAATAATTAGACCAATCTTCTTTATTATTATTTTTGTGAATGGGTGTTATTCACGCCTCTTTCCAGCCTAGTGGGATTAGTTCTCCATTTATGTATCTAGTAAAAAGTTCTTTCAGGTAACTAAGAAGTTTTTGGGAGCCGTTTTTCAGAAGCTCAGTCGGTATTCCTTCCGGTCCTCGTGCCTTATTCTTCTTCGTATGTTTTAACGCTTTTATTAACATGTTTTCGTCGATCTCAATGTACTCTCCTTTGACAATGTATGACGCTTCTGGATCGATTAGATATTCTTCATTCTCTTGTCTTAATGCTCTTTCGTAGTGTTTTTTTCACTGACCCATTTGTATTGGCTGTATGTTGGTTTTGGTAGATTTGTCCTTCCTTAGAGAACGAATTAGGTTCCAAGCCTCCGAAGATCTTTTTCCGCCCATGTAACATTCGACTTCTTTGCATTTTCTTTCCCAGGTTTCATTCTTATTGGTTTGAATTAGATTCTAGAATTCATGTAGGTGTCGTTTGTATGTATTGTAATCGATATCATCCTTTGTAGCTAACCATTCATTATATGCTTGTTGTTTAATATTCTTCTTTTCTTTTAATTTGGCACTCCATGTCAGATGATGGTTTTTTTCGGGCATTTGTGTCCTCATACCCTAAAGCTTCCGCTGTTGTTTTATGAATGGGTTGGGTAACATGTATATACATCATATAAGTTCGGATGTTTCAGCTGTCAGATAGTGGTCATTTAGTTTTTGATCTATATGATTCTGGTAAAGAGTACTGATGCTTGGTTCTCGTAATCCTTTTATATTATATCTGCTCTGATCTATTTTGTCGGTAGGGTCGAAGGTATTAATATCTTGCGTGTCTAGTAAATTCGATTCGGGTTTTTGTTGCAAGCAGGTAGTGGCCGGAGCCGCATTCGATCCCTCTTGTATCTTTGATTTGCCAATTCGTTTCTTGTTTTATAATTACATAATCAATAATACTTTTAAGACCTCTCGTATCTTGATGCCATGTGTATCTATGAATGTCTTTATGGTTGAAAAACCATTTCGGACTTTGAGTTTGTATTGTTCGCAGAGCTCTTTAAGTCTAAGGTCATTATTATTCTGCGTTTCTTCTCCATACTTTCCAACTATGTCACTGTCCCGAGATTTTCCTACTCTTGCATTTAGATCCCCTAGCAATCTCAATTCCCTCTGATTTCCGAGTGTTGTAAGGGTGTTGTTTACTGTTTTGTAAAACTCATCTTTTTCACTTTGTCCTGCGTCTTCATTTGCAGCATAGAGGCCGACAACGGTAGTTCTATGTCCCCTAACTGGAATGTTCACGGTTGCTATGCGTTCGTTTATTGTGTTCCAATTGCTTATCTTTTGTTTATACTTTTAATGGATTAATAATGAGACTCCTTGGGCAGCTCTTTCATCTTTGGGTATTCCATTGTATATATGTATGTAATCTGACAGGTATTCCATTCCGTTGCCCCTTTTCTCAGTTTCGGTGAGCACTGCAATAGGTATCTATGTTCATTTGCTCTAATCCTTTGACAACGTCTTCCTTTTTTTTGTGCAATCCCTGTACATTTCATGTCCCTATTATCGAGTTCATTTTCGATTGCAGTTGCAATTGTAACGACTTAAGAATATGATAAAGAAATATGTGGATAAATGTTCATGTATTTTGTTGTTATTTCGTCTATTTGCACTGAAAAAACACCAGTTTTGCTTCTTTCTTGTTATTTACTTACAAGTATGATAAGTAACACACTTTTCTGCTGCTTTTTTTTTCTTTTAACTTAGTTTCTGGCTTTCGCTGTTATTTTATTTGCAGTTTTTTGCCATTTTCACTAAATTTCAGACGGTTTTTTGTGAATGTGTTTCGCTTCTATTCATCAAAACCAATACACATAAGCTTTTTCATCTATCATGAACAAGGGTTTATATCATTTTCACTTTTTCAAGCTTTTTTCGTAGGTATTTTTGTGACTTATTTTTTTTTCTAGGTCATGAAAATTTTACTGATTTGATGGAAGAGAGAAAGCAACTGACAGAAGATGAAAAGAAGGAAGAATTGGCTCTACTGGAAGCTGAGCTGAGGCGTCGTCGATTAGAAAAAGAAGCAAGAGAAGATGAGGAAGATTTAGCTTTAAAAAAGAAATTGATCAGAATCAGGGCTGACATAAGAATTTTGGAAGCCAAAAAGGTATTTGAAAACAGTCCAATACACTAACCTAAATAATAAGCATTAGAACAGGCATTAAAAGGTATAGCTAGTTGTTGGCTAGATATAAAGTTGACTTAACAAGGGGCGAAAATGCATTAAAGAGCATTGGAGTAGTCCGCACTTATGCTTGTTTTTGCCTTTAGTAAGTCTAAGAGCCAAAATTAGCTGTAGGAGGTTCATGGGACCTCTTTAGAACTATCAGATATGAAGAACAAGCCCAAACATGAGGACCTTCACTTCAATTGAGTAGTTTTTAATTCCTTCAAGGCTTTTTTTGTCCTGAAAAACTGTGAGGAAAGCGTTGGCTCACTACAGCAATCTGATCTCTTTTCGGTTTGTTCCTTTCAACTATAGCTCTGTGAACTGGAATTAGTTGTGCAAATGTCTTCTAGCCTTTACAGTTTTTTGTTCAGTATCTTGTTCGCTTATATAGCTTCACTTAATTTTTCCTCCAAAAGTAAAAATATTTCACTTGCTATTTGTAATTATGATGTTCAATATGTAATTCCAAATTTATTTTACTCAAGTCAAGAATCAGATTCACTTAATTGTCATCATTAAAACCTCAGACCTTGGCCAAATTGAACAAGTCCAATTACTTTTTTTACTTTTTTGCAATGCAGTGTCTCGTTCTTCAACTACAACCTTTATTAGATTATGTTGATTCCAGGCATTACATAATAAAATTTTCTAACAATTTGTATTTCTAGTTTGTCTGCAGTATTTGTGTATTTTTTTAAATATGCTTATCTTTAAAACTGCTTTTTAATCACATTATAGTGCATTGCGTCTTTCATAATTTTTCTTTGCTTTTAGTGCTGTTTATTATATTTTGAAAGCATACATTTTTTGTTTGCCCTGACATCCTCTGGGTTGTAATTCTTTTTATTTGGTCTTTGCGAAGACCAAGGCACTCCTTCATCCAAAAAACGTGAAAGCATTTCGAACACTGTTGGACCATTTATTGAACTTCATAGATGAAAATTGTCTTTTTTGGTGATGGAACTATAAGATCCTACTTCGCCGGATTCTCTGAACATAGGAACATTTCATTTCTTTCCATTTTCATTTTCATTTCATCACCTTTTTCGGATAGGTATGACTTCACCTTCTTAAGGCTCAATGGAAAATTCCCTTTGCGAATGCAAATATTTATTAATTTGGTTAGTGGGATTTTTATATTTTTTTTGAACTAGTAGCTCGGGTTCAACGTCAGTTATATCTGGAGTAATGGTTGTATTAAATTCGTTGAGAGTAAAAATGCCTGTAGGCCATCTTTCTTCTTTGATAGTTCGTCTTAATAATTGTATTACAAACTTTTTTTATCCCTATTTTGCTTTATTTGATTTCCTTGGCATTTGCCCATCATCAGTGCAACCTGAAAATTTATAACAAATTGATGAAAAATCATTGGGAGTTTTCTCTGCAACAGAATCTTGAAGATATTTTACTTACTTCGTCAGGTTTAACTCTTCATCTCTTCTGCCAAAATTATTAAAGGCCACTTTACAGTTCCCTATTTTCGATTCCCGTAAGAAAACTTGCAGGGATTTTTATGACGGGCATGCGCACATCCATCTTTTTCTGCGGATCTGTTGCACTCACAAATAGCCCTGGACCTATTTTTCTAGCACTTGCGTGTGCAAGTTTCAATATTTTTTGTATTGCCAACTGTACGGCATGAGATAGATAGATAGATAGATTTATTAAGACAATAAGCACTGCTGCTGTACGTCATCAATTACATGTAAAAAAAAAATACAATTAAAAAGCAACATTAAAATGAAATAAATAAAATAAAAAAAGTATAAAAACACAAGTTACAATATAAAAAATATACAAAACACTGTAACAAATTTAAACAAACTAGATAAAGTCCTTAGGTAACATTGTATTCGTCATGTATTCGTTGAAACTATAATTGGCCCTTCCTTCCAAGTAAATTCTGACTGACCGCTCGAACTTTTTCTGTTGTCTGATTTCTTTGACTTGTGGTGGTAGCTTATTATAGAACAGTTTTCCCATGTGTAGGAATGTATTTTTGGTCAGGGTAAGGCGGGATGAAGGAGTCTGGAGGTCATTCATTTGGCGAGTTCTATAGGGATGTATATCTGTGCGTCGTTCTGCGTCATTTCGGTGTTTATGCCAGTATCGAATGTTTTCAAAGATGCAAAGGTCGTAGAAAGTTAGTATTTTCAGCTCTTTGAACAATGGCCTGCAATGGATTCTCTGATTGTATATTCCTTTGAGCAAGCGAACTGCTCTTTTCTGTAATAAGAATATAATTTCTGTATTAACTGATGTAGAGAGACCCCAGTAGAAAATTCCATATCGCATGTGGCTCTCGAAAAGAGAGTAATATATTTGAGTTGCCACAGCCGGTCCAAGATTTTTCCAGGAAGTGTTTATTGCAAATAGCCCCGATGATACTTTCTTTGCCACAGCCGCTACATGTACATCCCATTTGAGGTTTTTTTGGATGGTTATTCCGAGAAATTTATATTCGCTTACAATGGTCAAAGGGGTGTTTCGTATTCTTATCTGAATGTTCTTTTTTGTTGGATTGCTGAAATGAATGCACTTGGTTTTTTTTATGTTAAGCGACAGTTTATTTGTATGACCTCAAAAAATGACAACAGGGCTTATTTTGTTGGACCTGCGTTATTTAATGTTTATATACAGGGTTGTGGGCGTGGCTTGTATTACGCTATTTTCCTTGTCTCGTTCCCAAACAGGAAGGGTCTTTGTTTTTTGGAGAACTAGCAACCAGCTTTTGTTAAGGTTCATGCCCTCTTCTTTTCTGTTGAAGTTGTTCTGGTGTTTTTGTATTTCTATGGCTTCTCTGTGGAGCCTGGTGTAAAAATGTTTGCTCCTGTCCAATGCTTGAGTCTGGTCGAAACGAATGACATGGTTTGTTTGTGTCAACACGTGTTCGGCGATTGCTGATCTATCTATTTGTCCCTGCTGACAGTTGCTTTTGCGCTCATTGACCCTGGTGTTGATAAAGCGTTTGGTTGTTCCTACATAGACAGATCCATAAGAGCAGGGAATTCTATAGACGCCAGCCATTTTAAGAGGTGCCCTAGGATCCTTGGCCGATCTTAGACTTTGCTGAATTGTTCTTGTGGGCTTGTAGATGGGCTTAATGTTGTGGTATTCTAGCGTTCGTCCTATGCGATCTGTGACATTTTTGATGTAGGGAAGAAAGACTCTCCCTGCCACCTGTGCTGGTTCCTTATCATTTGTGCGCTGTCGCTTCGGTCAGTTCGGTCTTATAGCTCTATTTATCTCCTGCTTGGAGTACCCATTTCCTTCATGTGCTGATTTTAGGTGTTGCATCTCGTCCTGAAGATATCTCGGTTAACAAATCCGAATTGTCCTGTCGGATATAGTTTTAGTGACTCCCCCCTTCTGCCTAGGATGGTGATTGGATGCCTTGTTGAGCTATCTGTCCGTATGCGTCGGCTTCCTATATACTCTGTGTCCAAGTTTTCCTGAGGGTAATCTTTCTGAGAGGACGTCGAAGAATGCAATTTTGTTGTCCTTCTCAACTTCCATCGTAAACTGTATCCTGGGTTCTATTGAATTTAGATGATTAAGGAAGTTTTCGAGCTCTGCCTGTCCATGGTTCCAAACAACAAAAGTGTCATCTACATAGTGAAACCAACAAGTAGGTTTATTTCTGGCCGTTCGCAGTGCCATTTGCTCAAAGTGTTCCATGTAGAAGTTGGTGATAACCGGGCTGAGGGCTGAGTCGACATTGCGACTCTATCTGTCTGCTCAAAGAATTCATTTTGCCATTGGGAGTATGTAGTCATCAGACAGTGGTGAAATAAGTTGTTGATTTCCTCCGGGAATACATATTTCAGATACTCTAAGGCCTGATTCACTGGTACGTTGGTAAACAACGAGACGACATCAAAACTAACCAGAATGTCGTTTGGTAGTAGAGTGATGTCACTGATCTTTTTGATAAAATGAGTGGAGTCTTTAACATAGGAGCTGGTGAAAGGACTCCGCACACTTCTCATGGGATTTTCCTGAAACTACTGAATTTTCATAGTTTTTGCGTTTATTTGTGGTAGGTAGCCTTAAAAAATGTTGATTAAGTTTAGAACAGAAATGTGCATGTTTTAGGGTATGGTAGAGGGTATTTTAAACAGTACTTGTTGGATGGGCCTTTCTGATAAAATAGGTACCTCCGTCATAGTATTTTATGGCATATTATATAAGAATGTATGTATGTATCAAGGATGAAATCAACTTCTGATAGTTTTAGAATGGAGATAAATATGATCAAGAACCTATTATGAAAACATGCATATTTTCATTCACCTTCCTATTTATGTCGAGGGAGTTTTAAATAGCAGATATATTTGTTTCAAACGACTATCTTTTATAATAAAACTTAGCATTAGATTAGGAATACCTGTATTTATTAGGCATTTCGATCTCATTAAAATAACGTCCGTAGGGCGCTAACAGCCAATCTACGGACTCCGGCATCTTCCCGGAATAAAACAGTGCGATTTACTCTTAGTCCTTCATTGTACACATAGCACATGTATACCTTGCCCGAAATGCCATTTTCACAAGAAAGGTGACAAAAAAGACAATTCGCTTTATTGACAGGGCTTTTGTTTTGGATGACATATGAAAAACAATTTTTATTGCTTTTGTTTCCATGGCTGTTTGGATTTTTCAAACAAATCACTTAGTCACATATCTCCTCAATTGTAATTTGTATACCTAATACCTATACACTTAGACCCTAGGCCAATGGATCATGATGGCAAAAAGCTTTTAGCACCAGCGCATCGAGAACTGGAATTCATTGAGAGATAGAAAGTCACTTTTATCACAAAATGTAGGTACCTACAAGTACACCATTATTCACACTTTGAACATTATTGGTCATTAATTCATTTACCTTGGTAATAGCCATAGTTTTTAAGCGTCCCTGGTATATAAAGGAAGAATTACGAACGCATACTAAACATTTTTAGTTAAGGAAAGATAAAATAAACAACTTTTCAAGCAATAAATGCAAGTTTTTTTGCTTTATGTACACTTTATACAGGGTGTCCCAAAAAGATACCGACAAACTTTAAGGGGTAGTAGGGGACATCAAAACAAGCAATTTTGTTTATATAAACATATGTCCGCAAATGAGCCATTTGGGCTGTAGAGCAAAAAAACTGTTTGGTACTTTTATTCTTCGCAACTCACTGTTTACTTATTAATTTTGCTTTATTAACAAATAAATTATGGTTTACAATAATTGTTCAAAATGTTGACCATTTACTTCAATGCAAAGATTGCACCGTCGGGTCATTGACTTAAAAGTTTAGTCTACGAAACACCTGTTCGTAATGACGAAAATCTGTTAGCAAGGATACTGGCGAGTTGTACCCATGTCGAAGCTATTTCCGGAATATTCCGATGAACCGACGGTGCAATCTTTACATTGAAGTAAATGGTCAACATTTTGAACAATTATTTATTTGTCAATAAAGCAAAATTAATGATTAAACAGTGATTTAATTTTTGCAAAGAATAAAAGTACCGAACAGTTTTTTTTGATCTACAGCCCAAATGGCTCATTTGCGGACATATGTTTATATAAACAAAAATGCTCGTCTTAATGTCCCCTACTACCCCTTAAAGTTTGTCGGTATCTTTTTGGGACACCCTGTATAGGTACTTAGGTTGCCTGGTAGTATTAGAAAAAACCTTGTATATCCGAAACTAGTCATAGGATCGATTTGTGCCCATAAGAACTTTTACTCGAGAGATCGAAATATACAACATACCAAAATTTGGTTAAATTCCGCGTTCAACCAAAATCCCATAAGAAGTGTATGGGATCCTTTATGCTTGGAACGAACCTATTGTTGAGTAGTTTAATTATTGACATATTAGTTGGTGAAATGTTTAAGATAGCCCATCATAATGATATATTCATCATCAAGAAATAATTATATTGTAAATATAATATTGTTTAGAAATATGAGGAGTCGGAGAAGCAAAAAAATATACAGGAAAGCAAGAAAGATAAGAAAGACGCTCTTGCTGCCAAGCGAAGAGTAAGAGAGCAAATTGAAGCGGACAAATTGGAGAGGAAGATGAAATTTGGTGATGCTCCTGCTGTTGTCAATGAACCCGTGGCTACGAAACCAGAAGTTCCTGCAAAGAAGCTCTCCGAGAAATCTTCTAAAGTTAAATTACATATTCGTTTACGGAACGGTAAGAATTTTTAATAGTCCGCCAACAACTGTTTATTGGTATAATCCTTCTAGGTACAACCTTGGTGGAAACTTTCGGTATAAAAGAACCTCTCGCATCGGTGCGTGTTTTTGTTGAAATGAACCAATCGGACGGCCCATTCAACCTGATGACCACATTTCCGAAAAAAGTTTTCACCAGTGAAGACTACGAAAAACCATTGGAAGCTTTGGGTTTGGCACCTGCGGCTCTACTTATTGTCACAAAGCCCTAAAATAAGCGTTTGCCTGTTTTTTTTATTAAATATACTACTGAGGGCAAGTTTTTTTTTTAAATTATATATAAATAATTAGATTAGGGAATTTCCTGGCTAGACTTAAGATAATGAAGTAATAGATTGTGAGGATTCGGCCAATTCTTATTATTATTTTTTTAATCTCTTTTTTTGTAAAAGCTTTCGCAATTCTCCAATTGCATTTTGTTTTTTTTTTTTTATATAATTCAACAAGAAATCAGATCATCAATACTTTGAAATTGGCAAGTATTTTTTAGGTTTGTTATTGTCGCTGACGGGAATTTTGTTGGAACATTCACTTTTCTGTACCGAACTTCAACCACACAAGGGTACGTTTTTATAAAAAAAAAGAATTGGCCGTATCGCCACAAATCATTAATTCACTATAAATAATTATGTATTTTTTGTTTTGTTTTTGTAATTCAACGAGAAATCAGATCGATACCTTGAAATTGGGAGGTATTATTTAGGTTTGTCATTGTCGCTAATGGAAATTTTGTTGGAACGGATATTGCTTTAAATTATCAATAAATATATGTATTTCTTGTGTATGTATATATTTAAATTATCAATAAATATATGTATTTCTTGTGTATGTATATATTTTTTTCCACACATCTGAGTCTTTTGCACTTCCAAAGTGTTCAAAGTTCCAATTGGCAATTTCTGAAATTGACATAATTGGATAAAGCAACTAGAAATAGAATTTTCTGCACCCTTACTGTTGAAAAACTTTGACTTCTGGGAAAATAAATAGGAAAGAAAACTCTCTAAATGAGAACAGAATTTATCCTCACTACTCCACAACTTGAATTTTGACAGTGTTGCCACTCATTGTCAGCACCGAAAATTTGTAATGCATTCAAGTTCAAATTCAAATTCAAATTCAAATGGTTTATTACCATAGACATATGTACAATGTATCGGAAGTGTCAAATAAAATACAGCACAATATCACTAACAAAAAAACAAGATCAAATTAAATCTAAATAAAGTTATGATTAAAAAACGCAGCCAAGGAGTAGAAAGGGCACTCAGCAAGCATGGCCTTAAGAGCCTCCTTAAAAAATTGAAAGCCCGTAGTGCTCTTAATGCGTTCAGGCAGATGATAGATTCTAAGGGATATAACTTCAGGACCATCCCGCACCTGAGACAACCGAGCCAAAGGAACATACAATTTGTCGGCGTTACGCAGTATTTAACGTCGCCAAACCTTGCAAAGCCACCAGACTTCTTAAAAACTCGTCAATCACACTGCAAAATATAGATATTTATGACAGTTGGTATTTTTTCCCTTTTAAAGGTTACACGACATGATTTCCTGAAGGGAAGTCTGAACATGGTGCGGATAATGCGTTTTTGACATATCAACAGCCTCTCGACATCGCAGAAGTTCCCCCAAGCAGACAGTACATAGGCCAGAGCAGAATGCACCGCTGCAAAGTAGAAGGTTTTCAAAGTATAAGTATCCACAAAATCTCAGAGCTGCAGTATGGCATAGTTGCTACGCGACAACTTATTGCACACTGACTCAACTTGATCATCCCAAGACAAATGTCTGTCAACTACAATTCCCAAAAACCTGGAGGAGTCATGCTGAGCCGGCCAGTCAATCCCTCCCTGAGTAGTAGGCTTCTATCCTCGACCACTCGAATCGGAGTAAAAACCATGAAATTGGTCTTTAAACTATTTAAAGAAAGACCATTCCTCTGGCACCAGCCTGCAATCTCGGCTACACATTTGCTGCCCCTCAAAGTGTAGAGATTCATAGTCACGTGTGACGTGTGAGGGCCGACCTATCATCAGCAAAAAGGATAATAAAGCTGTAATCAAGCAAAAAAGACAAGTCATTTATAAACAATAAAAAGACGATTGGTCCAAGGACACTCCCCTGAGGAACCCCAGCTTCAACGGATGCCCAATCGGAGACTGCTACTCGACCTTCAACATTCAACCTGAAAGCCTGGGTTTTACCTGACAAATATGATACCAGCCACCTGTAAGCTGTACCCTCTTATTCCATAGTGAAAAAAATTATTTAGAAGTATGTTGTGGTTGATGGTATTGGAAGCCTTAGTGAAATCGAAGAATATACCCACTGATTTCGACTTAGAATCGAAACCATCTAGAATTGCAGTATACAGGGAGACTATGGCATCCGTTGTAGAGAGCCCAGCTCTGAATCCAAATTGACGGCATGATAGGATGCTAAAAGCGTCTACAAAAGCGACAAGTATTCTCCCGAAGGACCTCTCAAAAATCTTAGAGAATACAGACAGCAGTGCAATGGGCCTATAGTTCTCAACCAGCGATATCTGACCCTTTTTGTAAAGTGGTATCACAATGGCTGCCTTAAGTTCTTTAGGAAAATATCCAAATTGAAAGGACATGTTCAGAAGAGAGGTCAGCACAGGGAGAATAATATTAGAAGCACATTTAACACAATAAATTATACAAGGAATCTCATCCGCGCCACATGACCTTTTTCCTGAGACAGATTTATTAATCTCATGAGTTTCACTCTCAGTAAGAGAGGATAAGAAAATAGATTGAGATATTCCACTGCATGGCATATTAATGGTTGTAGGTGCCTGAAAATTGTCCAGGGGCATGTTTAGCTACTGAGCCGATAAAAAAGTCATTGAAGGTGTTTGCAATGTTCAGACTTCCGGTAGCATTCCTGCCGTTTGCTGTAATCGTATCAGGAACCGACGGTGACTTGCAATTTGAGAAGCCTGTAGTCGAATTGATGATATTCCAAGCGGCTCGTGTAACATTCCTGGAGGTAATTATTTTTTGAGAATTAATAGCTTTAAGCAGTGGCAATATTTTTTCAAGACAAATGCATTTCGAAGTTGTCTAGAGATTTTAGTTGGGTATGAGTCTCAACTGTTTACCTTCATTGATAATTGATGGCGTTATCCACGGATTAGACACCCTTTCAGTCCATTTTACAATGGTCGTAACGTAACCGAAAGATATAACATAAGCCCTGAGCATGCGCACATTAGATTTATTTCCGTCAAATATGTCACCGGAAACGCAACGTAAGAGAAGATGAGAGTTGGTAATCTCTTACTTTGCGTTTCCTGTGAGATTTTTGACGCAAATTAATTTGATGTGCGCATGCTTAGTACTTATGTTACGTCTTTACGGTTACGTTACGTCCATTGTAAAATTGGCTTTTAGTGGGCTTGCGTTTAGCTACACATGGAAAGCATATTATGTTAATCAGACTGTGAAAAGTGTCAAAAAAATAGGTAAATTTATCTTCCAAATTCAGAGACTCTAGAGCAGACAACCAATGTTCTTTAGATAATGAGAAGTTAAAATAGTTAATGTTTTCCTAAGAAAAGGATCTGGAAGCAGCTGTATAAGGTTCGACTGGATTACCACTCACGATGAGTCAAATCAAAACTCAAGATCTATTCTCGGTGGTTCGTAAAAGTCAAATCCAATGTATTAGTCGACAACAGATTAACATTCGTAAATACATTATCAATTAAGGTGCATGATGTGCCCTGAATTCTAGAAGGTTCAAAAAAGGCTTCCAAGATCATACGAGCTAAATGCATTCAGTGTTCATTGCTTCCCTAGATCTAGAATCAAAATCGTAGTTAAAGTCACCACAAAAAAACAAAAATATTACGCTTACACACAGACTTCAACAATCTTTCCAGGCAGACAATGAAAGTTGAAAAATCAGAACTAGGGGGACGATACAAACAACAAACCAGAATATTCACATTGTTCATGGTTTTTAATAACATAGCTGAAGCATATTCAAAATGATTTGTCAATGCTATCTATCTGCAAGTTGCTTATAAGTATCACTACCAAAGTCAGTCCTAACAAAAACTGCCACACCACCAGCATTGGACGAGTCTCTGTAGAAGTAGGTAGCTATATCTCATAGTTGTTAAGCTTATAACATGTAGCTTCTGTACATGTCATCCAGGTTTCAGTGATGCACACTATTTCAGGGTAACTCTCAGAATGCAAGAAAAGTTCAAGTTCTGAAGACTTAAGTCGTATGGTCCTGGCATTTAGGTTGACAATTCTTATTCCGTTCATAGATTCAATTTCTGAGTCTGCCTGAATAACCGTTCTTCGCGGCATCATATGTACTGGATCTGGATCCCTGGCCTTGGGCACGAAAAAATGTAAATTTCTTGACAGCTATACCTTCTGGCCAGCTATGAGGCTGAAGCAAAGTTGCCTCTAGTTCTTTAGGCGCCATGACTTTAAACGCTTTGTACTCTCCGGATTTCACCTCTGAATTCTCAATCTTGTACATAATGTTCGGTCCAAAATTGGCTTTGAGATACTCCATAAGGTCAGACTGAGTGTCAAGTGAAACCCTTGAGACAGAAATTGTAGTCAGAGGTGAGGATGCCACCAGTTGGCCAGGATTGCCATCCAACTTTTTCTAACCAATTTCTGCTCTGACTAGAGACTCTTCCTGAGGTGGAGGCGTTGCTGACGTCTCCATTGTTATCTTGAGCCAAGTTAATATATTTGCTTAAGGTCTGTTGCGTTGTGGCTTGCATAACAGCATGACCCACTGTTTGTGCATATAAGGCAGCTTTCTGCGAAGTATTTTTTTTCTTGACTTAGGACCACTCCACTAGCCAGGCTTAGTTTTTCCAGAGAGTACTGCAACTCCAAGCCACTTTGTTTAACACCATCGACCAGAGAGTCTAAACTTTAGTGAACATACCAAGAAAAATAATTAATTTAATTACTTAGGGATTCAAGAGTTTATAATTTTTATTTATTTTTTTGAATTATTAATTATAGTATAGTATAGAAGAAATAGTGGGTATTTTTTCTTTGAGAGGAAGAGTTAATGTCCACCTAAACGCATCGCTGCATATCGCTCCGTGTTAAAATCGTTCGGGATAAATTCACGGAAAAATTTCGCACAAAAACAAGATGAGTGATGAAAGTGGTGGGTGCAGTAATGACGCAAAAATAGGGCCAAAAAACATTACACAGCAGAAAATTATAAGCCTGTCAGTGGGAGCAAATAATCTATCGAGAAAGCAGAAATAAATGAAATCATGGCATCGGACCTGCAAAAAAACGTAATTCCATGGAGGCAAACACCGATAAGGAGCCCGGCGCAGGCAAAAATACAACTCATGGGCAAGGAAATAAACTGAACATCGAATTACAGGGGGCGACCCATAAGAACTATACCAAGTCAAAGAAAATAAAAAATACATGGATATTCACATGACGAGAAGATTAATCGACAATCGCCAGAACGTCTCGAAAAGGAACCGCTAATGGAGAAAGTGTACAGAAAAGGCCGAGGTCTGATTCCAGTCCTCCTAGTCTTGACGATTATTTAAAAAACATGGTGTTCCATTTAAAAAACAGTTCATCCATGGCGTAACTCGTTGGTTTTTTGTTCAAATGATTTATTGGTACCATTTTTGAATTCTCCAGAAAAAAATATGCCAATTGGCTATTTTCAATTTTTTCAAAAATACAGGGAGGGACGGGGAAGGTCAAAAATAAGCCCCTGTTCAGTCGTCGTTGGATGACCCTGTACATCTCGCAGTCTTCTTTTGCTTGTGTATATTTTGGAATGGAGCAGAATTGCAAAGATATCCAACAAGTGGTAGGTAATTTATTTTGAGTGCTTGGAAAGAAAGCCTTAGGTACAATCAATAGGAATTATTGTGAAATGACTTGAAATTGTGATAGTTTCAATATAACTTTGGCATTGGGGGATGGCAGGAGAGTAGGGACCACTTCAGCTGCCGGCAAGATTTACCTTCCGGCAAGATGTACCTTCCCATTCCTTAAGATCACAGGAATACGAATTTGAACATTTTTTCCGGTCCTCATATTTTGCATACTCAACTACTTGCAGCACCTGCTCTATGTCAAAAACAGGGAGCGTTTTGAAATTAAATCTCAAGTCTCAAAGTAGATATGAGACATGAACATTAGAAGTGATATACCCAACACAGAAACTAAAAGATGCCCCAAGTACATGTGTTTGAAGTTATTCAGCGCATTCCTTCAAGACTTAAAGACAATAAGTGCAGAAGAATAACACCTAAAGAAATACTTGGTGGAATAAGAACCTTATAGTTTGAAAGATTTTTGTAGTAATTTATAAAATTAAAGCAGCATTTGCTTCGTGATGCCGTTTCACTTTGCATCCATGTTCCATGTAAACATAATTTGAAATACAAGAAGTTCCTGGTTACTCATTGATTTCCCAGTGACCATTGAAAATATCAGAATATTCCTGACAATAAGAATACGGCGTACTCTATAATGCATTTCATTTTTAAATTTTATTAGAAGAAAGAAGCCGACAAAGAGTCTCAATCACTTGCGAATCGCAGTTTTACCAGTGACAAGCTTAAAAAGAAAGTTGAAAATTTAAAATGCATCTTGAATAATAGTGCTGGTATTGGCCAGTTAAAATAGCTCTGTTACAACCGACATGAGAATCGTTCAAGAACCAGTAATTTCCAGTTGCCCACCTATTTTTATTGAGCGTTTATCCTAATTGACAAATGAATTGATCGACTGGAAATTACCGTTCTAGAACGGTTCTCATATCGGTTAGAACAGAGCTATGCAATGCGTTCATGCTAACACTGGCAAAATGTGCCTGAATGTGACATTGAGCCCGAAAATGGATTAAATGTTGAACTTGAAAGGCAACCGTGGGAAGAAATAGATGTACCACACATATCCAGAATCCATATCTTGCCCCTTCACCGAAAGAATATGACTGTCCTGTACGTGCAGAAAAACACTCCTGCGTATTATTGGTTGTCTTTGGCTTTGTCAAGCAACAGGCTGTTTAGTATTTGTCGATCGTTTTAGTATGATTCTTTGGTTCTTAAATTCTGTCGCGACGAGTTTTTGTTGCATTTCCTTCCTCTCCCCTTTCAGGTGTCGTTCTTTATCTTTCGTGTGGCGGACTTTACTTCACCCCTATACCAAAGTTTCCTAGACCTACTTCACCGTTCGCCTTATTTATGCAGTGTACCTATTTTATATCTTGATTTTTTTTATGCCGTTGGGAGTATTTTGATCTTGCTTTTGACCCAAGGTTTTGAGAAATATTATTATTATTTTTGTGTCACAATTCTCTACGGCAATTTATCTTAGTATTAAAGACAGTACATTTATGGGACTGTTAAACGCGTAACAAAATAGAGTCTGCTTAAACGACGCGTTTACAAAAAGCAAGTCAATAGAGAACGTAACCAACTAACCCGTCCTTGAAATACGTGCTTCGATTGCACTAGAATAACTAGCTCACATTCCGAGGACCGATTATTTTGGGTTACTTTCTAAAGACACCATTAGAAGACGCGTGGAGTGACGCGCTAGGTGCGACGATTTTTGAGGGCCTCGAGATCGTATTCGTTCCAGGGGATACACCGTGTAATGCCAACTTCGCGGGCTTTTTTTTTATCAAAGACCTAGCCTCCCTCATCAATGCATTATTTCCAATTGAAAAAAAAAAACGCCAATTTAAAAAGTATCTATTTATTGTTACACACTGTTTCGACTGGCGCTATGCTTCCACCCGCCGTTTTGAATTTCACTACTTTGTTACATGCTGTTACCAGGCGCTTTGTGAATATAGGTCTAGAATTTTCTATTTAGATTATTAGAATACTTTGTGTTAATATACTCACAAGATCTAAATCAGTCTATATAATAATTTTTACTGTAAAAGTTGATATAAAATCTAAAAAGAGCTAATATGTACAATAAATAAATAATTAAGTACAAGAAATTTGAATTAAAAACCCTGTATGTCTATATATATATTAGGCTAAATTCAGTTAAATAGATGAAAAATAGGAATAATTTTGGTGTTTTTTTGATACATCATATAAAAATACAGTCTAAATGATGTTTAAATAGCAAATCTTGCTTTTTATACGCAAATTTGGCCTAAAATATAAATGATGAATGATCCACAGCAATTATAACAAAAACGTTCAAATTAATTTACAAAGTCACCCAAAGTAGTGTTCTTATAAAGTTATACAGCCATGTATAATGCCTTTGCTGTTCATAAAATTCTTGATACTCTTCATAACTTTCGTTGTTGTACTCAGAATCCTCATCGACAATTGTTGAAGGAACAGTGTCAATATACCATACTGGCTTTTTTTGATTGCAATTTGTGTTCAAGCCAACACGTATTCTATGTATAGGATTTGATGCATCACAATCTATTGCATCAAAAGTTTTATTAAGACAGATCCTAATTTCATTTATAAATGATTCTTTAGTTTTCCTATCGGTCACACATTGTATACTAGGCTCTCTATTGATAGCGTTTTTTATAACATTATAAATAAAACTAACATCGTATCCGTTAGTGCCAGGCACAATTCCACCTTTGGACAAGATTTTAGATAAATCATATTGCCTGTTGAGTTTTAAGCCCATTTCAAAATAATTAGGAACACTGTCTAATTGAGGCAAAACTGAGGCACAAGTACCATGCTTGTTCCACTCATGTGCCCAGAAAGAATTAGTTTTAGTGTTAGCTTCTACGTTTATCCAATAATGGTTGAGATCGGTGAGAATTGGGGCGAGTTGATCAGGATTAAAGTGAATGGCTGAAGGACAGAAGAGCGGACCCATTTTCCCTTAAAACATTGAAGTTCTTATAAATCATCATGTATCGAATAAATTGGACTTACCTGTTTTTGTTGGCCATACACCATGAACAGTCCACAAATCTTTGTCTTTGGGTAAATTGCAAGTATTCCCTTGCTTGGCTTCTTCCCATTCAGTGCATGCTGTCAAAGGCCATCTTTGGGAAAATACAAGGTAGTCAAAATCATGGTATGGTGTTGGTTGAGGTTTGTTTCTGTGTGCCTGAGAATACCTAAAGAAATAAATGGTATGAACTATCAGAATGTCATTAGATTCTTATATACCTATGTATTAAACTGATGTGAATAAAAATTTATATTCTTGAAAAAGTTTTTATTAACTTTTAAGTCTTTTATTTTTGTTATTACTACCAATGCATGTATGTACATCCTTATAATATTTTATATTTGAATGCTTGGTTTACATATCTATATCTGATCTAAGCGCCAAATGTTGATTACTCCTGCTATGTGTTTGTATTGATTCTGGTCACGGCCAGATTACGCAATACGTGTGGTTGTGCCCTATAAGACCACGAAGTCTAAAAAGCATCCAATGACTGAGAAGTTGGGGTCTGTTCATTGTCGTAGATGATGCTTCGATTAAATACTTGTGTTTTTTTTTCAAGAAAATCACTTTGGGTTATATTTCACCACACTGTCAAGAAGAATTTTGACATTGAATTTTTTTTCAAAACTCCAACAAATTAAATTAAATGATTTAAATCTGGAAAGAGTTTATCATATTAAGGACTTGGGAGTTATTATTGATTATGGCCTAACCTTTGTGAATCATGTTGAGTATGTAGGTAACTAATAGAGCAATGAAACTTTTGCGATTTCTGTTCACGACACTGGTGACTAGAAATGCTCAGTTTTTCCAAATTGGTAATCACCGCATTACTCATGGATTTTATTGTCCGATTGCAACATTTGGTAGATTGAAGACAGTAATTTGGGGATTAAACGATTGATTATCTATTAGGGGTATTTCATTGTATTGAAGTGTAAAATGGTTTGACCGTCAATAAACGTTTAGGTATTTATATTATTTATTTGTTTGATTTCGAATATTAGTTGACTTTGAGTGCTATATTTTCTGTTTTGTGTTTAATGACCACTGGCACTGGCAAAGCATGGATCAAGGCAAATTAAATCTAATATCATAAGTTGATTCATGTTTTCACACAAAGAAATTCACCAGTCCGTCAATATGGGAAAGTTATTAGCAGATATGTTGAAAAGTTTCAAAAATAGCAGGACTGCACTGGAACAAGTAGATTTACCAGATGTGGACAATTCAACAAATCGGATACAGCAGGTTAAACAAATGAAAACGGAATTGAATTTTCAGAATCATTTCCACAAAAACGAATTCTTGGCTGTTTATTTTTTTGATTGATTTTTCAGAATCATTTCCACAAAAACGAATTCTTGGCTATTTATTTTTTGATAAGTTATTGTCCCTAATGAATATCTACTTGGAATAATGCACTCATATCGGTGTCGACCTTATTCTTGAAAGAATTCTGTAGAATTTGACAGGGTGTTCCATGGGTAGACAATTCGATTTGCTAGGAAGTTCCTTCTTGGGAGCTTGGCGGTTTTTTCCTTGCACAACTTTAAAGTATGACCTCATAGATGGAGGTTGTCATTTATGGTAAAGATGTCAAGGTTATAGGAGTAGCCATTTCCAATAATCTTGTATGTCTCGATCAGATCTCCTCACAGACGCCTTTTCCTCAAAGAAGTGATTTCCAAAGTGGATAGTCGTGAGGTAATCTTGATTACGGAGGTATGGTGGAATCTTTGTTGTGACTCCCCAAGTGGATAGACGTAAGGTAATCTTCATTACGGAGTGATGGTGGAATCTTTGTTGCTCGTCTGTGCACACGCTCTAGTATCTCAATATCCTTTATGAGGTACGGATTCCAAACTGAGTGGGCGTACTCTAGTTTTATACAGTTTCATAATGGTGTCACACGACTGGTCTTCAAAGGCCTTTTTCACAAGGTATATGTATGAGTTGGATTTTTTGGCAATTTTCGTTATGTGCATCTCCCATTTCAGATTATAGGTTACTATGACTCCTAAATCCATTTGTTCCCTCACATGCTTCAGCTCATTATTGTCTATTTTGTAGATATATTCAGTGGTATTGGTCTTATTGCTCAAGGTAGTTCATTTTTCTTCGTTTAGCCCCATTTTCCAGATTTTGGACCACACTTCTATAGCTCTGAGACCTTCTTGCAATTTCTTGTGTTCTGCGGCCTTTTTTCGTGTCGTCAGCAAAAAGTAGGATTTTGGTTTGGATATTTGATGTCATATCGCTGACATATACTAGAAAAAGTAGAGAGCCCAGTACTGATCCCTCACTGGATTTTTCTTCTGTCTGAAAATGTTGCATTTATTCTTACTTGATAGTATCGGTTCAATAGAAAATTTGACACAAATTGTAGCAAGCTCCCAGCAAGGCCAAAGTGATGTAATTTATGCAGGAGATAGCTGTGGCACACCTTATCGAACGCCTTCTCGAAATCGAGATATATCACATCTACTTGCTCATTATTGTCAAAGTCCCTTGTCCAATCGTCTAAGCATAGTGTGAGATTGGTTGGACGATAGTTCCATGGAGCGATTTTGTCTCCTTTTCTGTATATTGGTTGACCAAGTCTCAGGAAAGTTGTAAGCTTCAAAAATACTTTTCATGATTTCAGAGCAAAAGTACAAGAATATATTACAACGCGATATTTAGGTTCAATTTCAGATTTTTTTGCTTACTTGGGTCTTGACTACGTTCATTGAGCCAGTTGTTCCTGGTACCATTAATAAAAGAAATTTAACACAATCGAAAAAAAAAAACAATTAATTAGACAAACAAAAATTTGGCAAAATTTAAACTTTCTTTTTCCGGCTGTAGACGTAACGGGCATGTAGGTAAAACGCCACCGTACTTCTTGAAATAATAATTCACAATTCACATAGGCATTTAGGCAAGATAATAAACTCTTTCAGATACTTATACTAAAAAGAAGCCTGAAACTTTTTTTAAAACAAGGTCATATTGTTGAAAACTGTTTTTTTTAAGAACACCATTGACAAACAACGGATTAATGTTAACTTTATACTAAGTAAAAAAAAAAGGTAGTACCGACTAAAAATAAAGATTAGAAATTAGAACTGATAAACACGATATGTCTCTGTTGTCTGATAAATTTGCTGACAGATTTGAATCAAACTAATCTGTTTGCTGACAACAGCCTGACCGTCGTAACTGATATAAATGGCAAATGGTACTCGAATAGTACGAGGACAATTACCGGGCGGTTGAAAAAGACTTTACAGATAAAATTAATGTGCTTGAAGAATATTATTCTGAAATTTGAAGTTCCGACTTAATAACCTCTAGTTCTGATCACCCACGTTGTGTTGTAAACAATACTTCGATGCAAATTAGTTCAATTGATAATCACATTGGTACACGTCATCCTTATCGACTTGCAGGCTGGATCGCAAAATTATTCTTTTAGAAAACACATTATTCGCGGAAGTATAATCGCCGCAAGGCTTGTTATTTTAGTGAAAAAGTATGGTATTATCGAATGTGTTGCGATTTTCGTTTGCCAAGAATTGAATATCAGCTTGACTGTCTTGGACGAGGTAAATTTTTTACGTCATTGGCTTAAGGTTTTTGCCAAATTCTGATACATGCAGATTCTATTGAAACGACTACATTTGTTTGTGGCTAAAACTTTTTATTTTCATGAATTGTGGCGTACGAGGGGTTCAGGTAACCATTGATTTTACCGTGTTGCATTCTATTGGAGTAAGATTTTATCCAGCTAGCTAGTGATGTTACACACATTTTAAACCCAATCAGCTAAGTAAGCTGAAGGCAAGAAATAACCTCATTAAAATCAGTGGGTTATGGCACGGGTTTCATTGCCTTCATCGAAAGAATAAAAAACAAAACAACGATAACCTAATTGATGCCAACCGATTTGCCAAATATAAACCCAGACGCAATAACAATATCCTGTTTGATAAGTAATGAGGATTTTTCTAAAGTGCACAAATATCTTGTGTTCAAAGTTCAATTATTACAAGAACTACAAAATGAAAATAAACATAAAAGAGATTGATTTAGCTAGCTTAAATTTGTTTTTCAGTGTCCTAATGACTCTAAATAAAAAAATAAATTTAACATAATCATTAAACAAAATATTTTAGAAACAAATATCCAACATCCACTAAGTCAAAGATTTCTTTATGGGCATCAATATGTTGATAATACTAGTTGTTCAAGCATTGATACACAGTTAATCAATTCCTGTCATTTATCAACAACCTTCAAATCCAATTACCTGTCAAATTAGAGCATAATAAATCCATCAACTTTTCAGATTTAACGATAACGAATAAAAACGATACTCACGAAGTTTCGCACCCCGGTGAAGTTATACCCGAGGTTATACCATAATAAATCCAAACATCCCATACTCTTTTAAAATAGCAACGTTTAATTTGTTTTTAAATTGACTTTCAAGTGTTCCACTATCAATAGAGAATTAAAAGAAGGAACTCAATTTTATTAAACAGGTTACCAATCTATAACGGATTTGATGTTAATTAGGTTGATGATTCAGTTAAGGAAAAACGTTATCAGATGGCAATAATAAACTAAAGCCTATTCATAATCCATTAATATATCTGAACAAAAATATAAATCTTCACATACAAAGGTACTATTTCCAAAACCTTCTCTAGAAACAAGATATAGACTGCTCCTAGAACCAATTACAAACTAATTAAAAACAACAAATCTGGATCGAACAAACCATCTAAATTAGGAGTCTACTTATTATTAGAATGTGGTACTTATCCAAAAATATATAGGACAATTTTAACAGATGTGTCAGACTCTGACATTAACAAGGAACGATGACGACAACTACCCAAACTCAAAGGGCCATGGAGGGGATACGGGATAATGCCGAACATAAAACTCTGCAACAAAAACAGAAGCGCTTGTATAGGGTATTCCAATAAGAGGTTTCGAATGTTGGTAACGAATAAAATAAAAGTTTCATAACATACCTAAAAGTTATTTATGGCAGTGCGTAGCTGGACAGTGTACAATTAATCGTGGAATACAATATCTGCCAAATGACCACCACGACTTCTCTGGCAGCACACAATTATTTTGATGAAGTTTTCCACTATAATTGGTAAA